TACCTCCTGTGACGGCGAGTCTGATGTCGAAGGTGGATGCTAAGGAGGTTGTGGACCTTCTGATTGCTCTGTCATGCTAAAATTTTCAAAGCGTTGTAGATGAGATTGAAATATTTAGTTGAAAAGTTTAAAATTATAAAAACTATCCCAACGTCTAAAACCTTAAAACAACAAACATGAAATCAAGAAATTAATAGCAGTTTGCGAAGAATTTAAAATTTTTAGTTAACATCTCAATATCTTAAAAATTATAAAAACACCCTCAAAAGTTCAAATTACAAACAAGCACCTGGAATTCTAAAATTTTAAAACTTGCAAACAATATAGATGAATTCAAGGGATTACCATAACACACCTGAAAATTTCTGACATCTCAAAACTTAAAAAACAAATATAAAAATAAGAAATTAATAGTAGCATCCTAAGAATTTAAAATTTTTAATTAACACCATCAATTGTCCCAAAAATTATAGAAACACGCTCAAAAATTTAAATTATTATAAAAAACAACTCCAAAATTTTAAAATTTTAAAATTTACAAATAACAAAAGATGAATTAAAGAGATTACCCTCATGCACCTAAAAATTTAAAATTTACCGAAATTAACCTCAAAGTTACAAAAGTTATAGGAAAAACTCTTTCAAAATTTAAAAATCATAAAAAACTCTAAATTTTAAAAATTTATAACCAGTACACATCAAATCTAAAAACTATTGGTAGACTGTTAAAATTTGAATTTTTTTAAAATTAATCTACAGTTTTAACAATTGTAAAAAGCAGCCTCAAAATTTTAGAGTTGTAAGAAATATCATGACATTTAAAAATTACCACCGACACATGAAATATAGAAGTTGCAACTATCAAACTTAAAAGTAATTTTTAAAAAATACTTTTAAAGTTTTAAAAATTATAAATCACACCCTCAATGTTTAAAAGCATAAAAGAAGGCTGAAATTTTAAAACTTGACAAAGAAAAATGTAGTTGTTAGGTATTCTTTCATTAATATATATATATATATATATATATATATATATATAATTTCTAATTTAGGGTTTACTATCCATTTTCAGCATCTAAAGATAGTCTAAATTGATAGTGGTAAACAAAAACAATAAGAATTAATTAAAAATATCAGATTAGGGAATAAAAATTTAAAAAATATTATAGCTTAAAAATTATCGTTACCATATAAAGAAAAGCAACTACATAAAATTTTATTAATAAGTTGGAGCAGCAAAACACATTAGTAACATTAGTTGATAGATGTTTAAATCCATAAAAAATGTTAAAATACTATAATATAATAACTTTGCATTAATTGATTATAATTTAGAAACATTAATCTCTGATGTTAATAATATTTATAGAGTAAAAGAATACAATAAATTACGTATGAAGGTACTATAAGAATGTTCAGAGATATCCTTCAAAAGAATCAAGCTTATTTTCCATTGCAAATGAGTAAGTGGCGAAAATAAATCTAAAATTCTGAAAACGTCAATGAATCATTTGAATTGACATTAACATATAACATTTAATATCAAAAGGAGAGGAGATTTTTTTTTTCATTTGGAAGGCTTAATTAACAATTTAAAAGATTTGAAAACTTAAGAAAAAGGATTTAGAATCATAATAGTTTAAAGAAGAATGGATTCAACAAAGCGTTGATATCTTCTATCAAAATCTCGGTGATTATTTGACTTTTGGGCATATAATCATTTAATGTTGCAAAGCTTTTGTAATATAAGCGATAGAAGAGATAGGGGAACAATGGTTCTGGAGGAGTAGAGAAGTAGGTAGCAGAGAAAAATACAATTTTATCCTTTAAAGTAAAGTTAAATCAAAATTAAATAAAACTGTTTTAGGAACGCCGACTACCAAAGCAATGCTCAATTAAAAATTATAGGCAACTTTTATATAAGGGGAAAATGCTTCCTGCCCCCAAAACCCAAGAAAACATGCTTCCCATCTTTAAGACTTTGTCAACGGGTGTTTTGCCCCCAAAAATAAAGATTTTCTTCTCTGAGCCCCCAAAACACAAAACCCAAGAAATTAAAATATGTAAAGACCATAATATCCTTCTCTCTCTCTCTCTCTCTCTCTCTCTCTCTCTCTCTTTTTATCATGATGTACTGAGATGATAGTTGAAATGATTGATGATGATTATTTTATTATTTTTATTGTTGATGAGGGGAACTAAATATTTACACTGGGAGATTGTTAAAGTTACAGGTTAATTGTTAAGGTTACTAGTTAATTGTTAAGATTACGGGTCAATTGTTAAGGTTATGGATCTCTTCTCTCTCTCTCTCTCTCTCTCTCTCTCTCTCTCTCTCTCTCTCTTTATCATGATGTTACTGTGATTATGTTGAAATGATTGAAGGGGATTGTTATTTTATTATTTTTGTTTTTATTATTTTCGTTGTTGATGAGGAAACTAATTGTTTTTGTTTGTATTGGGAGATTGTTAAGGTTATAGGTTTAATTGTTAAGGTTACAGTTTTAATTGTTAAGGTTACAGCTTTGGTGTTAAGATTACGGGTCGGTTGTTAAGGTTACGGGTCGGTTGTTAAGGTTACGGGTTTAGTTGTTAAGGTTACAGGTTTAATTGTTAAGGTTACGGGTTTGTTGTTAAGGTTATGGTTCGGTTGTTAAGGTTACGGTTTGGTTGTTAAGATTACGGGTCGATTGTTAAGGTTACGGGTCGGTTGTTAATGTTACGGGTTTAATTTTTAAGGTTATGAGTTTGTTGTTAAGGTTACAGGTCGGTTGTGAATGTTACAGGTTAGTTGTTAAGGTTACGGATTGATTGTTAAGGTTAATTTCACAACCAAAGCGTAACATTCACAACCAACATATATCATTAGTAACAAACCCGTAACCTTTACAATCAACCATTATCCTGAACAACGAATATTCTAAAAATAATATGGTTGTAAGGGGTTTGAACCCCTAACCTCTTGTCCAAACTCCCAAACTTTACCACTAGGCCAAGTGACCTAATGTATTCTTTTTACTCAATATATATATATACATATATATCCCAACGTGTAACCTTCACAACCAATCCGTAACCTTAACAACCAATAACCTTAACAACTGACACGTAACCTTAACAACCGACCCGTAACCTTAACAATTAAACCCGTAACCTTAACAGCTGACCCGTAATCTTAACAATAAATCCATAACCTTAACAATTAAACCCTTAACCTTAGCAATTAAACCCGTAACCTTAACAATTAAACCCGTAACCTTCACAACCAACCCGTAATCTTAACAATTAAACCCGTAACCTTAACAATCTCCCAATACAAATAAAAACAATTAGTTTCCTATCCATAACCTTAACAATTGACCTGTAACCTTAACAATTAACTCGTAATCTTAATAATTAACCTGTAACTTTAACAATCTCCCAATACAAACAGTTAGTCCCCCTCATCAACAACGAAAATAATAAAATAATATCCATCAATCATTTCAACTATCATCTCAGTACATCATGATAAAAAAAGAGAGAGAATGATATTATGGTATTCACATATTTTAATCTCTTAAGTTTTGTATTTTGGGGACTCAGAGACCAAAATCTTTATTTTTAGGGGCAAAACTCTCGTTGACAAAGTCTTGGGGCGCGCGGGGGGAGGGGGGCACGTTTTCTTAGGTTTTGGGGGCTGGAAGCATTTTTCCCTTTATATAATTACAAAATGACTTTTGGGCACAGTCATTTTGTAGCTATCTTTTCTTTAGTGGAAACCTGGAAGTTTTTATTGACTGAGAAGCATGAACTAGAGCGTCCAGTTAGATGGATGCTCGCACAAAAAATCTCAGGATAATAAGAAAGTCAAAATTGACAAGCTCTATAATTAGTAGCACCATAATGAGCGAGAAAATGCGCCATTATTAGCATCCTTGTGGGTCAATTTTAAAGCAATGTTGAGAAATAACACTAGCATCTTGCAAGATTTCGTCACAAATATGACCATAAGGTGATAATCTGTTATTTACTTTAGTGAAGTTACTAAGAATCAACTTTAACCAGATTCAATAATCAATTTTTTCTGCTTTTACTTATGAAAATTCTCATGCATCATTTAATACAGAGAATCGATTTATAAATCCTTAACACAATACTTTTTTATTTATCGGTACCATAACAACCTATATTATACAAATAAAATAAGCGGTGGAAGATAAAATGCTGGAGGCTTAGGGGATGTTTGGTTCAATTTCTACAAATTAAAGGAAATATTTTCCACCCAAAATATGATTTTCATGTATTTCTTAAAAAAAGTATATGAAAAGTTTTGAGAAGTCAAAAAGTACAAATTTTCTTGTTTTTCTTACTTTGCTTGTTTGGTTCAAAACAAAAAAAAATGGCCCATAACTTTATAGAAAAAATAACAAGATTTTCTATAATTTGTAGAAATTGAACCAAACACCCCCTAAATTTATTGAAAAGTATCAACTTTATAGAAAAATGTCAATGTGTTGTCAGATTTCTGGGTGATTTCTGCCCATTTTGAGAGGAAATTAATTTCTGTAAATTTTGGTAGTTTTTTTTACTTTACAGAAAACATTTCTGTAATTTTTTTTAAACCAAACACAGTTTACGGAAATCTACAGAAATTTTTTAATTATAGAATTATCATTGTCAGACATTTTGAGAAAACTTTTCTATAAAACTGTGCAACCAAACACCCCCTTAATTAAACATGAAAGTTATATATTTGCTACTACTAGTTATTCCAATTTTTTTTCTATGCACTTGCTCTTCTTCTCTGTGTTTTTGCACATCTTAATAAGTTTTGAACTTTTCAACTTTCTTGAAATTAATGACTTATTGCTTTCTCGCATAAAGCAAATAAAGACATCTTATTGCTTTCTCGCCTAAAGCCCAGGCCATCGAAGGCCCAATTCCGAAATAATAATAGGGTTTAAATTTTTTTTTTACAATGATGAAGGAAGCTCTTTAAACTGCTGCTATTACAAAGTAACCCTGAACTCCTGCCGTTGATAAACCCTTGTAGATTGCAGCTCGCTCTCTCTCTCTCTCTCTCTCTCTCTCTCCCCCTCTCTCTTCTCAATCCGATTCAATTCCCTGATATTTTTTCACCAGGTAAAGGAATCTTCAACCTCTCTCTCAGTCCATTTAACTTCCCTTCTTATCTCTTTGAATCTCCTTTGATTGATTGAGGACTCGAACTTGTTCCCGATCCTAATCAAACCTGCGATCTGGGTTTTTCTTATAGCTCGATTCCCCATCTGGGTTTCCATTGGAATTCTTGCAAGTTTCAGTAAAAATTACGATCTGGGTTCTTCTCAGGGCTCGATTTCCCACCTGGGTTTTGTTTAGCTTAGCTTATTCTTTGATTAGTTATATATTCTTTGATTATTGTATTGGTTATTGAGAAGTTTTGATGGGGAAGAAGATGAAGAAGAAAGCCCCTAACCCCCGGAAGGCACTCCATCGACCGCCAGCGGGGCCCTCTCGGTCCGTTGATCGAAAGGATGAGGTTGTAGTTGAGCATGAGGGAGAGAGAGGTAGTTGCAACCACTACAGTAAATGTGTGGATGACTTGAATCAAATTCTATCAAGCGTTCGATCCAACTCGAATAGTATGGTAGCTTGTGAGCATTGCAGAGAAGAGCCAGTTAGCAGGAGGGGAGGTAAAGAGAAGGGAAAACAACAGAAAAAGAAAGGGGGTGCTAGGGTTTCAGCGTTGAAAAAGGAATCAAACTTTGTTTGGGTCTGCTTAGATTGCAATAGATACTTTTGTGGGGGTGAAGTGAGTGTTTCAGAGCCTTATGGCCATGCTCGAAGGCATTCAAATCAAGAGCATCATATGTGGGCAGTTCGATCGGATGACCCTCTTATCTCTTGGTGCTATTCGTGTAAGTTGTCAGTTCCTATCGAGATGCCATCAGAGGAGATGGATGGTGCCCCTAAACTGGTAGTGGCTTCAGAGAACGGAGTCGAGTCAGCAGAAATCGAGAGTAGTAAAGGTTATGTTGTTAGAGGTCTTTCAAATCTCGGGAACACTTGCTTCTTTAACTCGGTCATGCAAAATCTTTTGGCCACTGATATGTTACGGGATTGTTTGATGAGCTTGGATCAGTCTCTCGGTCCTATCTCCATGGCATTGAAGAAGCTCTTTGTGGAAACCAGTTACATTGCAGATTCTAAGAATGTTTTGTCTCCAAAAGCACTTTTTGGGTCTATTTGTGCAAAGGCGCCGCAATTTAGGGGGTACCAACAACAAGACAGTCATGAATTGCTCCTTTACTTGCTTGATGGATTGTATGCAGAAGAGATTAGTGCCTCAAAATTACATGATTCTTCAGATGAACTGGGGAAAACTGATCCAAGCCAGAGGGTTACTTTTGTGGATACTATCTTCGGAGGTCAAATATCAAGTACGGTATGTTGTACTGCATGCGGGCATACTTCGGTAGTAGACGAACCGTTCTTGGATTTGTCACTTCCAGTGCCTTCGAAAAAGCCTCCACCAAAGCGGGGTCCGCCTAAGAAGGCCCCACCTCCTCCCCCTAAACGGAAGCCACCACTGAAGGATAAGAACAAAGGAAAGAGATTTCGGGAAAAAGTAGTTTCTAAAGGATCTAATGAAACTCAGCAGTCTAAGGAAGAGAGCTCAGATGTCCTGTTGGAGTGCAGTGAAGCCATTTTTCCTCAACCGAAACCAGAAGTAGCTGTTGATGTAAAAATTGAAGATGATTTTACCTGGATGGATTTTTGTGAAGCTCCTGTTACTCAATGTTCTGATAGGGAGCAGGTTATTCAGAGTGAGAGTAGTAAAGATTTGAATGTTTCAGATACTTGTAGAGAGATTTCTTGTAGTAATGAGGTCCCATCTTCATGCGCTCAGGATTCTAATGTTATCTTACTTCCTTATAAAGAGCCGGGTCCAATTGCTGAGGATACAAATGTCTGTTCTGTTGAAGCACCAGCAGAGGAAGAATTTGATGGTTTTGGTGATTTATTTAATGAACCCGAGGTTACTTCTGCTCCCAAGACAGAGAATGGAACAGGTGAAGAATTAGATTTGACCTGGTGGACTGGTCACAGCTGCGAATCAAATTATGATGAGGTTGACAATACAAATGCACCGGTGTCTATCAATAGCTGTCTTGCTTTGCTCACTAAGCCCGAGCTGTTGTCTGATGAACACGCTTGGCATTGTGACCGGTGTTCTAAGAACGCCTCAAACAACGCAGCAGCAGATTCTACTGTCATCAAAGTTTTGGAAAATGGAAAGGTGGCATCTTTTTCTGAGAACTTAACTTCTCAAGATGAAACATCTAATGGTCACACCGTAGAAGATTATATTTCCCAGAATTCACTCAATCTTATTGGAGGTTCGGACAATAAAGAGATAAAAAATGAGGAGAGTGCAAGCTTATTGGGTCCTGATGTTCTAACGAAGGATGAAGAGGTTGCTGCATCAGATGATTCCTCTCACTATTTCTCATGTCAAACTTCTCATGAAAACACTCCAACACAAGAGAAATCATTGAGTCAAAAAGCTGATTCTTGTAGTGTTAATTATCAGGATGATAGTGAGAGTGAGGAAGTTCATAGTGAAACCGTGAAGGTGATGAGGGATGCAACAAAAAGGATCCTTATAAATAGGCTCCCGCCTATTTTAACTATTCATTTGAAGAGATTCAGTCAAGACGCTCGCGGTCGCTTGACGAAATTGAGTGGCCATGTCAGCTTCCAGGAAACACTTGATTTGAGACCATATATGAACCCCAGGTAATACTTTAAACCTTTTCTCCCCATTTGCAGGAAAAATATTGTTCCATTTTGATTGGATTATTGCAGGCATTGTTGCAACTTTGTGATTTATGCTATTATTGCTCATGTATCCATAAGCTTCCTACTTATTATTATAGCCTAGTGGAGAAGAGCTCAAAATTGGTATTAGTTTATACTGTCAGTCAAAGGGCTATGTTAATTTTTTTAGGCATGTTTCTTCGTCACATTCCTATCAGTAAAAAGTACCTAATTTCATAAGTTCATTAGCGAAATTTTGTGGGCATATTTCTCCTTGAGATGCCTTTGAGTAGCAGCTACCCAAGCCTACAGCATATTAGCAAAATCAGCTTATTGCCTTTATTTTTTGAGGGATGTACCTAATTTCAAATTGCGGGTGTGACTTATAAGGTGGGATTCTCTGCCAACTTTCTAGCCTTCTAGGTTTTATGCCAAGACCTCTCTTGCATATACTTAGTTTGGCTTGGAATGCTATATGTTGATGTCAAATTTACATTCAGATCATCTTGTTCAATCCTTCATTGGTTTGAATTTTTTTTTCTTTATATGACACCATTCTGATGGTAAGGCTTGTATTTGGATTCTGATTATGATCATGAACCCAATATTTCTTGTTTCATGGACACATGAATTGTTAGTTTTGAATGGGAAAGTTCTTCGATGGTTTCCAAGTGTATCTATTCTAATAGGTAAAAGGGAGAAACAATTTGATTAGTGTTTTTTTGTCATTTGATAACTTTCCATGTTCTTTAATGGAGAAGCAGCAATATAGATATGGAATTTTCATATTTAAGCAATAGATTCACAGTTTCACTTTTGATTCTTGGGTGACCTGAAAATTACAATTAGAACTTTTAGTCACTTATTATTAAATTTGTCAAACTAGCATATGGGGGACGCTACTTCTCAGAAACTTATTTGCAAGTTTTTTTTAATAATTTATGGTACTTATGCATACTATAATGTAAAAATTATGACCCCAAGAAACAAGTTAGGTCTTAGAATTCTTGTGCTGCTCTGGAAAGAAATGCTTCTTAAGTGTAGGTACTGCATGATCATCAGCCACAACCACATTTGCAATAACTTGTTGTATTATATTATTTGATCTTCCTATTTTTTGGGGTAAAACTCCTTTAGTTGAAATTTCTGACTTACAGTTTAAATGAGATCTGAACTAATCTAAACTCTTGTAGTTTCACCTAGTCTAGATAATAGATAATATTGGACTACTACTCCAACTTTACAGAACAAACACGGCTCTGTGTTAACATTGTGTAAAAGAGAGTGCTGAGATAGTTCAGAGTCAGTTTAAGGAGGAGAAATTTAAGGAGAGCCACTATCATTTGCTTTGAAATCTTCAACAAGTCTGAATCTGAGGGAAATGATCTATATCTTTAAAGAATCCCATCAATAAGCTTAGGGTTTAGGTTGAGACAACAAGTGCGATTTCACAAAATAGTAGCTGAACAGGAAGGTTTAGAAATTAGGCATGGACAATTTTATGCTGCTAAAACCTTGCTCCAGAGTATTGATAAAAAGATATCCATGATCAATAGCACCATTGCCTATTTTTCATGTTCTGAGAGTGCCTGTCAAATTTGGCAAACTAAACAGAATAACAATATTATAACATTAAATTTTGTAGGAACGCACCTACATTGTATTTAACAAACTTCTTTGCTTACATTTCTAAGTTGTGAGTATCCTTTAGATGTCTTCTTAAATTGCCAAAGCTTCCTGTCTGATGTTCAATGGATAAGGTTTCAATTTATTCTTTCATTGTTATAGCGGTCAAGATTTAATTGGCTTCTAAGCCTGAGCCACTGTTTGTAGTGTACTAGCTTCTAGTTTAGTTCTGTTATGTTCCAAGTTGAAAGCCTTTTAACTGACTAAATGGATAATTTTCATGCTTTTTAATGGTTTGATGAGAATCCTATAGAATTTCTTAGATTATTCCTATCTGATGTATAAAGTGGATAAAGTTCATGCTCTTTTACGGCCAAGATTTTAGAGTGCAGGTTTCTCATCTGGTCCACTATTTTGTAGTCTAAGGGCTTCTAGTTTCATTGCTTTGCACACCTCCCTGAAATCTATGAAAGAGAATGATTCCCTGAATCCCTGCCTTACTATCCTTTATTCATTGAGTTAATAATTGGCATGTCATGTCTACCCTTTATACCTCTTAGGCCATGTTTGTTTTTGTAATAGCCTGGGTACTATTTTAAAATAGTCCGGACCCGCTTTGTTACACTATGTTTCTTTTTTTATCTGGCTGGGACTATTTTGGGGGACGGATTAAGTAATACCCAAAAAGGGGACTAAATAAAAGCCACCTCAACCACCCACCTTTATAATCTGGGTATCAATGATTTAGGGGTATTAAGATTTTGGGACAAAATTAACCCTATTCTTTTCTTGTGTCACGAATTTTTTCTTTCTTCAGTTCATTTTCTTTTCCGGCATCTTTCTTCTCACTGTTGCACACATGTCGTTCAAAACTCGTCCCATTAAAAGAGCTAGGAAATGAAGAGTCTCTTAAATCTCCAGTCATATGTAAGCAAGTCAAGTGCAACTAAACAACTCTATCCTAATTGGTTCTCTTCTCATTGTGATTCATAGCATCCATTCTTAACATCAGTTGGATGTCCATCTTTTCAACTTCAACCATCTTTTTGTTCCCGGTTCATCTCCATTCACACGGCATATTACTGTCTACTACCATGATATTTGTTTTCTTGCAAGTTGAGGCACACATAGATCACTGCATATTCATTTGTTATTCTTCTTTGTTTAGCGACATAAATTTCTAACACAACCCACCATCCATTTTTAAATATTTTTACGCCCAGTTCATATCTTTAAACATCAATCTGCTTCATTTATTTCATACTTGGGGCACACTCCTATTTAACAGGCACCAAGCTTTAATTCTATGAGTTTCTCAATTCTCATTAAAAGGTCCGCAATTTTTTGGACAAACTCATGTCCAAATTTTTATATTTTTGCCAAAGAGACCCACTAATTCAATATTAATTGACTTGAGGATGAGAAAGTCATTCTGATTATGATATTAGTCCCAACAGTCATAAAACCTCTAATAACAAACAGTAATCTAGATTATTTTCAGTTAGTCCGAATATTCGTCTGTGCAAAAACAAATATTGTCTTAGACTTAAATAGTCCTAGGATAACACAGTCCTTGGACTATAGTCTGAGGGTTATAATACCCCCTAGTCCCAGGATAAAAAAACAAACGTGGCCTTAGTGATATTGGTTATGTGCTCCTGAGGAAAGAGAAGAGTCCTTACTCTACCATCTTTTATTGGTAAAACTATTGGCATAGCTTGTTTTGGTTGCAGATCAAGAATCACCTATATGGTTATTAGATGAAAGTATATTATTTGTTGCTTTTAATAAAATAGTCTAGATTGAATGTATAACTTATATATAGAATCTTCCTTTATTGGATGATTCCTTTTCTAATTAGATTTTTCCTTTATTTAAAAGAGAGAAATTCTATATATCTCATTGATTTTGAAGAAGAGGGTAGTATAATGAGGTCTAAGGTTGACCAAAAAGTAAAGCATAAACCATCTCTCGTCTAGTGCCAGGATCTTGACCCAGAAACTACGATTAAGAGAGTGGATCGTCATAACTTGAAGACCAATTGGTGTCCTCCAAAATTTCATGTACTGGAGGTAAAAGCCTAGAAGACGAGGGAAGGACAGAAGATCTGCTGAGGAATTCCATTTGACTTTAGGTGTACATAATGCCAAGGGCAAAACCGAATTTTTTTCCAGTTTATGATTTATAGTACAGTACTGTCTGCAAAACTTTTCAAACATGTCAGAGGTTTAAATTGTTTGTTATATTTAGACAGTACTTATGATCCATTTTCTTAGTACTAGTATTTCAATAACAAAAGACGAACCAAGTTATTGTTCCAAACTTCTTTTTACATGCATCGAAAATTTTCATCAGTTATGTTAAAGATCATTGTTAAAGATCATCTTTTAACTGCGTAACACTGGTTTTCACTGCCCCAGTAACTATAATCTTATCGTTCCTCTTAAAAAGTAATTATAGCATTCCTTAACTAAAATAAGTAAAATATTTTTATTTGAACCGCCCCCCCCGGCCCCCCCCCCCCCCCCGCGCAGCGCCGTAGCGCGCGCGCACCAGCGCGCGCGGCGGAGCAGTGGCGACGGCGTAAGATGCACTAGCAGCATGTGAAATTTTGCTGTATAAATCATATCGCCATTGAAAATTGGAAAGAGTCGCCTGTTGGCATCTTCCTAGATAGTGAAAGAGAAATGGGTCATATTAATTTCATATGCTGTAAAGATACGTGAAGTTGAACACTAATTTTTGTTGAAATGATGCAAATAAATGTGATGTACTACTTATAGGTTAAGGCCACTGATTTTAGTTGGATTAAATGCTCATGATTTTGATGATGGTTAGCATGTGAGCTCCATGGTTTATCTTATTAGTTAGAATTAAGAATCAGATGACATGGGCATGTGGTATTTTCATATAAAGGGGACAATGAAATTTTCTTGGGAAATGGTTCTGAAATTATCATTTCACTTAACCTGCATTTTTCTCGAAAAAGATAAAGTTCAGTTTCTGTTGCATTGTTCTTTTACTTATGTTCAATAGATTCTGGATGGGGAGTGCTATGTGAACAAATTGCACATGTTACTAGTTGATAAGTTTCCACTGGACATCTAAAGGGAACTTGTTCAGTAAAAGTTCTACACTCCCTATTTGGATTCAAACACCTGAACCTTATAAAGTTCTTTGCTTTTTATGGGTTATTAAGTTATTTTACATTTTATGGGCATATCTACTTGATAGTCATCTTGGGCAGATTTGCATATCTAATCTTGTATGTTTCTGTTATACTGTAATAACTTCACTTTATCCCTATTCATTGATGCTTTGAATCTATTTCTATTGCAAAGTTATCATTTGTTAAGACTATAATAGGAAATAGACCTCGTTAAGTTTCTTATTTGTTTAATTCGAATAGATAAAGGAATTATCTTATGCTTATTGTGCTTCGTCTAAGATTCAGCCCTTGATATATACAATAGAACTGTTGGATGTGCAGAATTTGGGTGCCCTTTCATGGGTGGAATCTGGACTCATGGAGCGGTGTCTTTTTTTCAAATCCGCTTTAGAATTCGTGGCTAGTAACATTTGAACTTGGGTTGCTCTGATACCATCTTAAAGTCCATGATGTTGTGCCAACACTCCGAAAATTGTACTGATGATTGAGGGTTATAATTTTGTACTAGCACTCCCATTGAAATGTCGATGTTGAATGTTTAAATTAGAAGCTTTATGCCATAGAGTAAAAAGAATTCGGTTTAATTCAAGTGACCATGGTCCATGGGGATTATTGAACCATAGGAAAATCATTTTTCCCCATATAATTGGCATTGACTATTTTTTGGCAAAGTTTCACAAAATTCCATAGACTATTAGGTGGGTATACGATGATTATTTTTGGGCTTCTAATTAATGATGACGGGCAGATACTAGTATCAGTTAGCACATTATATAATTTAGATATTTTCTCTTAGTTATTTTATGTTTAACTACCCTCACATCCTCTCAACCTTCTAACTATTACAGGTACAACAGGCTTTAACAATGTCATGAATGTCACACGTTTAATTTTCTACGTATATGGTATTTTTCTGCAGACCAAAAATTTTGCGATATCTACCTTACCTTTCTCTAATAAAGTGTTATGACAGTTTTGTACAAAATCCCTATAGTTTATGGTGTTTTGTGAAACCCTCTTTTCACAATCATTCTCAACAAGCTTCTTCAACAAGAAGTCATTTGATTCTTTATTCTGTTGATGTTTTTCACCCTCAGAATGTATGGCTAAATAGAGAATGGGGCACATTAAGATGGCTTGGGAGGATATAATTTTTAGTGGAATTGAATGTAATAATTTGATTCATGTAGCCGAAGCCAAAAGTTTGGGATATATGAGTATAGCTCCGGTAAACTTGAGCTGACTGAGGGCTCTATACACAATCTTTTTCATCCTCTGGATTTACTTTCAGATGCATGCTGACGTGTGATGCACATCAAGCTGGTTTTTGGATGTGTGCCTTGATGTATATCACACACAACACACATCTCAAAGCAGATCCAAAGGACGCAAAAGGTCAGCGGACTGCAGTGAACTTACGGGAGTTATATACATATATTCTGCTTTTAAGACATATTTGCTCCTATTGTCCCTCTATAATACTTAGAGAATTCTGCAAATGCAGGTCCGAGGACAAAGACAAGTGCCATTACCGACTAATTGGAGTGGTGGAGCACTCAGGGACCATGCATGGAGGTCACTATATCGCTTATGTGCGAGGAGAGAGAGGGCGAAGCAAGATTCAGAAAAGCCAAGGTCCAGCCTGGTTCTATGCCAGTGATGCTCACGTGAGAGAGACTTCATTGTCCGAAGTTCTTAATTCTGATGCATACATCCTTTTCTATGAAAGAGTTCAGACTTGACAAAGAGAGTGTGTCTCCATTCACTATACATTGTAAACATAGAGATGGGTTTTGAGAGTATTTTTCAAGACCCTGGAAAAAATGAAGACATGATTCCTAGCTGTAAGAGATGCAGCATAGGCTTTTTTGATGTTAAAGATTTGAGTTGAGGATGTCATAGTTATTGGTTGTATAAGAATTTGATGCGATATACATGCACATGATGGTTCATATTTGATATAACCTAAAGAAACTAGGGTTCAGGTTTGGGACCCTGCATATCTTTTTGATCTGAAGTTCTTGTGTTTACTTTTATCGAGTCTGTTTTTTCTGTATTTTTTTTAATTTGCAACTTGATATGTATTTTCAAGAAAAAAGCTGTAAAACTTTTCAAAGTCATTGATGCCATCTGGAAATTCTCTGTGAATCTTTAATATACTTCATTTGTCAGCATATTTTATCACTTCATTTTTTTCTTTTTTTTTCTTTTTTTCTGTTTTAACTAAAATAGTATCTGCATTGTTCATTTTTTTTTTCTGTTTTAACGAAAATAGTATCTGCATTGTGAATTCCTTTATCTGTGAATCTCTCTCTCTCTCTCTCTCTCTCTCTCTCTCTCGATCTCTCTCGAGAATTAAGGATAAGACTTGTAAATGAAACCCCTGCTGCAACTTTTTCAGTAATAGTGCATGGTTAATAGCGCATGGATGTTTAAAAAAAAAGCAAACTCTGCACTCCCAACTCTAAAAGTTTGAACATACATACAAAGTATACAGTATATCCTACTTCATCCTTAAAAATAAGAGTGTTCATGCCCATTTTTATTTTTCCACTCATTTTTCGCAATGTATATCAAAATAAACACATATATAGTCCATTCAAAACCATCAATTACACATCATTACAAAATAACCAAAACTTCATAAAAAGAAAAAGCCACGGAAACCCGTAAAACACCATACAAAAAGGAGGGGAGACCCTTGTCACCTACATTAGTGACCTGCTCTAACAAAACACAAGGGCATGTCTTGTATATCAGAACAATTCGCTCGCACGTGGACTAACCGCATCTTACCGGATTCCGGATCAAAAAATGTTAAGTATCTCCAAAATAAACCCGTTACAGAGGGGGCAATTCCCCCTGCTGACGAACAACTCCTTGGAGCAAAGCCTACAAAAAGTATGCCCACAAGGTATGAACGCCGGCCCCTTGTGCCTCACCATACATACACAGCATGCATTATACATCCCCTCATCACCTCCATCATCCCCATCCCCATCGTCATCCCCATCGTCATAATCCTCATCATCATCATCATCTTCATCCTCCTCCGACCCAAACCCTCCTCCCTCCGTCTGCTCGAAGAGCGCCATCAGCGACATCTTCGCCGGCTCTCCGGAGACCGGCGGGTCCTCGTCGGCGGGCTTGCCGCTGAAGGATCGGGCGAAGAGCGGGTTAGGGTTTGGTGGAGGGTAGTACTCGGATTCGGGCTCGGACCACGCGTTGCCCGCTCGCCGGAGGCGGATCCGGTCCTTGAAGGACTTCCAGTTGACGGTCCCGTTGTCGGAGTCGCGGATGGATCCGGATTTGGATCCGGATTCGTTCATCTTCTGCTCTTGAAGGCCGCGGCCTGCCATTTTCTTGCTGGAGGTAAGTGATTTTGTTTTGAGAGATTATTTTGTGTTTCGTGCGCAGCGATTAAGTTGAGGTATTGGGAATTTTTTTTTCTTCTTCTTTTTCTTTTTTAAACTTTAAAACTTTGTGGTTGCTATTGATTTGATTTTGTGTTGGTGAGCGGGTCTTTCGGTTTGAATTCTGTGCAAGGAAATTTCTAAAGATAGTAGTGAGTTATAGAAATTAAAGATAAGAGTGAAATATGGACGAGGGAGATTATTAATAGAATCTTATAGAAGATGATAAATTTCATGCAATTCACAAATTTGGTAGTTTTCAAGTGATTATTGCCCAAGTCACGAGAACATATCTGATCAAAAAGGCTGAGGGCCCATTTGGATGTGGTGTTTTGCCTTGAAAATTGGGAGGAAAGCTGCTAAATTGGCAGTTTTTTTGGCCCTAAAATCACCTTTTAAGAGGCGATTTTGGTGGAAAGCTTAAAGAGACGATTTTGGGGGAAAGCTGTCAAAAAGCGACGATTTTGACAGTTTTCCTCCTAATTTTCGGAACAAAATACTCCATCCAAACGGGCCCTGAACGACTGTTCGGTATCTAATCAAACTTTTTATTTAGTTTTATTACTTCTTTGAACACATCAAGTCCCAACGAGTTAAAAACATATATGAATATACTACAATACATTTCGTTTCCATTTGATCCACGTACGTCCTCTGATATTCTCCAAGGTTTTTCTTGATATCATGCGATCTCATGTCTTCCTCAATTTCTTGGTAATGATTCGGGCTTGACATGGCATTTCTCAGGTTGTCTGACTATGTATATCTGATCTCCCGCGCTATTGTACCAATCCTGATTTCTGTGCCATGTCCACAGAGCGTGTGTCTCATTCTTCACCTGCGATAAACAAACACACGCATATTTACTCTTCCAATTAAGATTTTTTATGCAAATAATTAATTAAGGGATGCAAACGGATTAGATACCAAATGGATATGTTAATTATCGCTTACTGATCACGAAAGCAAATCAAATATAGATACAAAATATACTTCGGCAAGAAAAGCAAATCGGCATCTCTGTCAAAATCAAATATGGATGCCGATGGGATGACTGAAAAGTATGTTTGAATCACAGAAGTATGTATGACACAAAAGCTGCCTAAACAAATATGATACCTCAAAGTTATTTTGTTCAGTGTGTTCAATGTGCCCTACAAACTTAAAGCTAGATCTCGGGATGATAAAAACTGATTTCTGATGGACTATTTAAGGCTAGAATAGTTTTAATAGTCTGATCAATACGCTTATCCTGTAAGAAATTCAGGAAGATATCTGTATCCATATTTGTATTCTATTGGATAATGATACATACATATTAGGGATATCCACCACTTCTGTGCTGTTTGTATCCATAAATGGAATTCATCAAGCTGAGACAATAATGAGAGGAAATTTACCTCTAAGATACCATGACCAAAGCTACTCTCTCTATACGCACTATACTCTGGTTGTTGATCCCAGCAAAATTTGCCTGCAGCAGGACCTGAAGAGAAGTTGAAACCACAATATCCGCCCATGATTTTATCGGGTGTTTTCAATGGATTCGGACAGTTGGCAGGCTCATCAGCATGATCCACTGCCATCTTTTCTATGTTACCTCCATCGCCAATCGTTATGTGTACAGGTCCACAGGGATCTACTGTGTAGTTGTAGACTCGATTTGATCTTTCATACGCATGAACCTGATAATTTGAGATACACTTATTTTCAGGTTGAGGTATATTCTAACAGCAGAAGTTGAAACTCATAAGGAATTTGGGGTTATCGATTTTAGGTAAACTTTGGGGTATTTAAGTGCAAATAACCCTTTAAAATATATTTGCAGCTTTAAGTGGTCCTAATCAAGTACACAGTAATATGTGCAATGGTGTAGAGGTAATTTGACACTTACATGACCACAAAAGGCAATGTCAACGCCATAGGAGTATAACAAGTCTTCCATTTCCACCCTCATGCACTCTACTTCCCTGTAATGGGCTTTGTAGGTGCTGTACCATGGTGGATGCCACATAGCTACCAACCAAGGAGTCACACTTCTGTCTACATTGGCCAAATCTCTCTCCAGCCATTTATATTGCTCCCCTGCATATGTGAGGATCAAACAGTATTAATTACTTTGTAGCTTTGAAGATTAACAAATGTAGCTTAGCTTTGACAATCTGAAAATATGGTTATTTGCATATGTAATCCTGCACTATGGGGACATAGTTAGATATCTACTTATTTTTCATGTTATGTTGTTCTTTCGATATTTGTCTCTTTCTATCATATTTTGAAATTAGTCGTTCAAATCATTGGAACTATTATTAGGTACCCTCGATCCTTATTAGTTGTTTCAAATTATTCCTCTAATTGCTACTTCTACCCCCTTTAACTTAAGGAGTGGGGATAGTAATTTCGATGAGTTGAGGACTTCTTTCAAAATAACATAAAATTTTGGGGACAAAATAGCAGTTGCAATGATTTAAGGGGCTGATGTCAAAGTACGAAGATTTAAGAGACTTAATGGAAAAACCCATATATTTTATTGGTACACTAGTTCTCCGATGCACATGATACGTGCATCTTCGCCTTACCTTTGAATTGCCCTTTGAAGAGTCAGTTCTACGACTGCTCCGCTTCCTCGTCTTGCTTCTGGCAAAACTTCTACTTTGTTTGCTTCTCTCGCGCTTGCTTGCGCGAAGGCGTCCCACTTACTGCTTGGGCCGACACCGTTCTTGCGCTAGCAAGAGGAACATAGCCCACCTATCGACCGAATTGCTTTAGAACGTCCACCTCAAAGAGCTTCCCTCGCCTGTAGGGTCTTTTTTTATCCCCGACGCAGAAAACTCGTGCGTAAAAAATATTTATTTACAACACCTTAATAATCAATCCTAATATGAATAGAACTTTAGAAAATAATTACCAAAAGTGATATGAAGTATCTTACTATTAGAAAATGTGGGAAGTGGGGTTTGTTGTCAAGTAGTGGATGGTAGTTAGGATATTTTTAGATCTTTTCAATTTTATCGTTTTAATTAGGGGGTGTTTGATTAAATGAAGGTGACTCGAATGGAATGGGTGAAAGTCACTTATTTTTGCAAGTGTGAAAGTGGATCAATGTCAACATGAAAGTGAAATGCAATGTTTGTCTGTAAAAATGAATTAATCTTGGAACTAGGAAAATAAAGATGATGTGATAATTATTTATTTATTTGTTATTTAAATTCATATTACACTCTAAACTCTAATAATTATTCTGGTAACAACTAAAGAACGAATTGAAAGCCTAAGGTATATATATCATCAATTTCTTGTACTAATTTTTATAGATTCTTTGTATTCTGTATTTTTTTACTTATGTACTTTATATTTTTTTAATAATGTAATGACTTATTAAATGCCTAGTCATGTTACAACTGTACAACAATCACGCTAAAATGTGTAGTCATGTTCATAAATTGTCTAATTCGTACTATATAAATGACATAACAATGTACACAGTTATTAAATGCTATAAAAGAAATAATATAATTAGCAGGTAAGAAAATTTTGGGGGGAGGTGGTTGTTTCCACCGAATAACATGGGAAAATAAGATAAGATAAATAATAAATATACTAATTAATTAGGAGTGGTCCCCACTTTTTTCTCACTTTCACTTGACTTCAGCACTTTTTTAGGAGAACTTAAACATGCATTAGAGCTGATGTGGACTCATTTTAACATTTCACTTTCAAAATTACTTTCAATAACACCAAAAGTCTTAAAATCATTTTACTTTTACGCTTTTACAATTCACTTTCATAAAAACAAACACCCCCTTAGTTTCATGGTACAATAAATCATTGAGGATATATGTTGAATTTTTTGAAATCTTGACCCACCTATGGGTAAAACCAAAAGTGTGACTTTTCTTAAATAATAGTAATGGATGTACCCGTTAGACATGGTGATGATGTTCCTTTTCTGTTACATTTTAAATCTTCTGGAAATTACGTGATGCTCATGACTCAAAACATTTGTGAAAAACATTCCCACATGATTCCCATGAAACCTTCAAACCCATCACAAAAGCAGTATCGTCAATGCGGCAGAGGGTGGATATGTGCTAGTATCAAACCAACATAGCATGGGTGATGTATTTGCGATTGACCGAATTATGAAAGAAACTTGAGAACGACATGAACTTCTATAGCCAAAAAGAGTATTGAAGAGACTTTAATAATATATACATGCACAAAGGAGTCACGTACCTGACTTTTTGTAAGAAGTGTACGCACCAAGCATAACAAAATGTATCCCTCCCGCATTGAAGGAGTAGTAAAACGTGGAACCTGATCCGCTTTCTTCAGAAGGAAACGCGAATCTGGAACTATACGCTACAAACGACTTATTCTCAGCTTGTAATTCAAGCTCATGGTTTCCTTCTACAATCATCGTCGGTGTTTCAGATATCACAGGTTCCATGTACCTAAACATCGCAGACCAAGAAATAATAACAAGTCATGAACCATTAATTATCAACACGAAAGGTCAAACTTCAAATATCGTCCGGGATCCTTCATGTTTGGAAGTTATCGTTAGCTATGTCCTTCTTACAAATCCTCATTCGATCTTGTTGTTGCACTTCTTACGTGACGTGACAAACTTGTAAATTAACCAAATGTTGAGCGAAAGTTTAATGACGGAGATAACATTAGAAACTCTTACCTCCAAACATAAAAGACTTCACATGAAAATATCACAGTTCAAAACTTATGCTCACCGTCCCCAATAATCCCAACGAGGCTGATAACTTTCGTGTATCGGTGAATTTTTGAACGAGCAAGAGTAGCAGCCTGAACCAGTGCCGTTTGTTAAGTACATGTTTGCATAAGTGACATCTCCTGCTAACATAATTAGATCAGGCTTGTTCCTCCTCAAGTGATCCATTGTGGATGTTGTGTTGTACGTCAGACCCAAATCGCCGATGACTGCGATTCTTTTCGGGTAACGGGTTGGACCCGGATTTGGCATCGTTTTGAATTTGTGGGTTTTGCTCATGGATGGTATTGAAGGGTCTCCGCATTGATAGTAGTGCTTTGTATTTGGCTTCAGTCCTGTGGAGGGAGCGTTAACGAAATATACAGTTATGAAAGAGGAGAAGAAAACTTTCATTAGCTGAAGTTTAGTCTCACATTAAATTTAGATGATTAAACCAAGGTTAATTGCACGTGGACCCCCTCGAAGTATTTTTGTTTGGAAATTACTGTTCTTGTAGTTTCATTTTAGCAAATAGATTCCTGTGAAATCTTTTTGACTCTTTTTACCCTCACATAGACTCTTCACAGTATCTACCGAAATTTCATACAGAGTAAAGGAGTCAGAACAATTTAACCGGGGTCTACTCTATCAAAATGAAACTACTGATTTCAAAACAGTGATACCGCGGAGGGGGCTGCTTGCAATTAACCGTTACAATTAGCAAGTGTTTACACATGTTTGGACGTACATATCTAATAAAGTTTAGCATTTTGAAACACTAAACACCATTTAATTATGAGGACGTAGGTGGTACATCTCTCTGGAATATCCAGACAACAATAGACGCCTAAACTAAAACATTTTTGGATATATAAACTCGTAGTTATTAAATCGGTAGCACCAGAGAAAAGAACATTTAATTTTCTTTAAAACCTATTAAATCTTATTCATTCGTGAGAGATGAGGGGGCAAAAAAAAAAAAAAAAAACCTGTGAGGCGAACATGATGAATTATCCCAGAAGTATAATTCTGAAGGCCTTCAAATGGGTAGAGCTGACTATAAACAAGCGAATGGCCAGCGGCTTCATTATTCAATGAATGCCTCCTCCTTCCATAACGAACTATGCTAGCTACAGTTTCAGGATCCAACGGCTCAATGTCATCACCAATTTGAAATTCTCCTGTAACCACATGAAACCATTAGATAAAAGTTAGTTCTTTTGACGATAAGAAGTCAAATGTTTTATGTGTAATATGAGTTTTGCGTTGCGATGTGTGCATGCCAAAAAAAAAAAAAAACGTGAGGATGTTGAACTTTTTTTTTTTGGGGAGTTTTACAAGGTTGTCTATCTCATGAGCTTTTAAAGCATTTGAAGTTGTGAGAACAATTCTTGAATTTTAAAAAAGTGCAATTATATTGGGTAGAACACAAGGAAGGATTTGGAATGGGGGCACTGAGGCATGTTACCAAAAGATTAGAGGTACTCTGAAATTATAAAGATGTGCTCTCATAGAAATTGACCCAACCACATCTAAAAAAGCCCAAAATTATCCAAATCTACGTATCGAAAACCATATAATAATAACTATTTCTCATGGATCTTTTCTTCTAACTCCGGATAATGATGGGCCAGTGGTTCTACGAAACAAACAAGAGTTTTTTTTTAGATATTAGTCCTTTACATCTTTTATATTGAAATTAGATGCATCAAATCATTGATATTTCTATAAGGTCCACCAATTCATAGGTTATTTTAACAATTGTCCCTCAAATCATGGACGTTGCTATGAAGTAGCCTGATTTTTACGTTAATTTTAAAATTAGACCCTCAAATCAAGTGTAAAAGTTAGCAATCACAAGGAACTTTGTCCCTCAAAACAGGTAGGTTCCCAAATTATCATACGTTGTTTCAAGTTAATATCTCTAATTACTAATTTTTAAAAATTTAATATTTAAGGGACCTAAGAGCAATTTTGATGATTAGAGGGACTCGTTTCAAAATAACTTAAGATTTGAGAGATAAAATAGCAATTTCAATGATTTGTGGGACTAATTTCATAGTATGAAAGAGTTAAGGGACTAATATTAGAAATACCAAAAAAAAAAAAAAGGAAAACTAAACTTCTCCGCCATTAATAGGCATAGTGAAAAATGTGCCCCCATAGTAACAAATTTATGGATTCCCTAGTAGAACACCGTAAGATTTTTGAAGAAAATGCTAAATTTTTTAATAATAGTAATAGATTAAATTAAGCCAATATTTTATAGCCTTTTTATTAAAGTGCTTTGGATCTTTTTAACAGGTATTTCACCTCCCCCAAGACTTTTTTAATGCTCCCAAAACCCCCAAAAGAAAAGCCATAATTCCCTGAGCGTCCAAAACATAAAATCCAAGAGTTTAAAACATGTGAAGACCATAATACTCTCTCTCGTGAAGACCATAATACTCTCTCTCTCTCTCTCTCTCTCTCTCTCTCTCTCTCTCTCTCTCTCATGATGTTACTATGATGATTTGAAGTGAGTTTTGAGAGGAAAAATTCTAGTTCCCTCCAAAATTTTCCAACGGCATCGACGTCGGCGGCAAAACTTTCTCGACGTTCGTCATCGGCGGCAAAGAAAACTAGGATTTTGAAGACGGTGATGACGAGTTGCGTCGCCAACCCCCTTAAGTTTACATATTATTGTAATTTTTTTTTGAAATCGATGACTAGAGATTAAAGTATAGTATGTAAATTTATATATTGTTGTTATTTTACTGTAATAAGTTTATTGTTAAGCTTATGAGTTGGTGGTGAAGGAAGGTTACGTGTTGGTTTTGAAGATTACGAGTTGGTTGTGAAGTTTACGAGTTAGTTGTCAATGGTACGTGTTGGTTGTGAAGCTTATGAGTTGGTTATGAAAATGTTACAAATTGGGTGTGAAGGTTACAAGTTGATTGTGAAGGTTACGCGTTGGTTGTCAAGGTTATGAGTTGGTTGTCAATGATACAAGTTGGTTGTGAAGCTTACGCGTTGGTTGTGAAGATTGCTCATTTGTTGTGAAAGTTACGAGTTGGTTATGAAGGATACACGTTGGTTATGAAGGTTACGCATTGGTTGTGAAGGTTTATGAGTTGGTTCTGACGGTTTCGAGTTGTGAATGTTACGAGTTGTTTGTGAACCTAGGTAATGAGTTGATTGTGATTGTTGTTAATTAACCTTCACAACTGACGCGTAACATTCACAACCAACACGTAACCTTCACAACCAACTCGTAACATTCACAACCAACACGTACCCTTGGCAACTAACTCGTAAACTTCACAACCAACTTGTAACCTTCAAAACTAACACCTAACTTTTCTTCACAACCAACTCGTAATCGTTACAACCGACTCATAACCTTTACAATCAACTCATAACCGTCACAACCAACTCACAACCTTCACAACCGACGTGTAACCTTCACAACCAACATGTATCCTTCACAACCAAGTCGTAACCTTCACAACTAATGAGCAATCTTCACAACTAACGTGTAACCTTCACAACCAACTCATATCCTTGACCAACCCGTAACCTTGACAACCAACGCATAACCTTCACAATCAACTCGTAATCTTCACACCCAATTTGTAACCTTTTCATAACCAACTCGTAAGCTTAACAACCAACACGTACCCTTAGCAACTAACTCGTAAACTTCACAACTAACTCGTAATCTTTAAAAGCAATACGTAACCTTCCTTCACCATCAACTCATAAGCTTAACAACAAACTTATTACATTGAAATAACAACAATATATAAATTTACATACTCTAATTTAATCTCAAGTCATCGATTTCAAAAAATTATAATAATATGTAAACTTAAGGGGGTTGGCGACATAACTCGTCATCACCGTCTTCAAGATCGCAATTTTCTTCGCTGTCGAAGATGAACGTCGGGAAATTTTCACCGCTGATGTCGACGTCGTTGGAAAATTTTGGAGGGAACTAGAATTTTTCCCCCAAAAACTCATTTCAAATCATCACAGTAACATTATGAAAAAAAGAGAGAGAAAGGGTATTACAATCTTAACATATTTTAAACTCTTGGATTTTGTGTTTGGGGGCTTAGGGAATTATGGATTTTCTTTTGGGGGTTTTGAGAGCGTTGAAAAAGTCTTGGAAGAAGGCGAAATACTTATAAGGAAGTTGGGGGCTAGAAGCAATTTTCCCTAATTATTTTATCAATGATGATCCGGCTTTGAGTTTTATTAGAACCGCAAACTGGAAGAAAGTAGAGATTGAATAGAAAACTGGAAGAAAGTAGAGATTATAGTGGGAATTTGACTTCCCCATTTTATTGATGCAGTTGTTCTGATAGGATTTGTATTCTTATAAACGAGTTCTGTCTAATGAACAATTATGATATGTCTTAAATGCAAATAGCAAAACAGTGCAACTCATAGGAGTATATATCTAATACTATTATAAAAGTGTGTTGCCATGTTAAAACATTTCTTCCGAAAATACCCTCCAAGTCATGCTAAAACACATACATCATACATAAAAAACACATATATGAATACATAAAACACATACATACATAAACCACCAATTAAATTAAATGTAATAAATACATCTCCAATTTGTATTCACTACCATTAGAAAATTATAACAACTTATTGTTAAAAATGATAAATACATACATGTTTTTCCAGTAACATGCAAACAGAATAAAGATGCATAATATAACACACGTATTGATATTGCAGTTTATAACAACTTATTTGTCAAAAGGCGGCAAAATGTTCGAGATTCTTATACCAAATTAAGATTTTCAATCAACGTACCATGAAGCTCAATTGATTCACCCAAGAGGTAAAATCTATCCTTCTTTCTTGAGTGAAGGTTTATTAGAAAAAAAAAATCTCATTTCTTGGTTTAGTATGATTATTGGAATCCAGTAAATAAGTTTAATTTTATCGATAAATGGGTGCAGCAGCCGAAAAAATGAGATCGGAAGGAAGGCACTAGCTTTGGAGGTATCTTAGCATGTCAAAATCTTTAATTCTTCATTCTCTATTTTTATGTATTTTTGCTCTCATTTCTTTCCACATATCAATGTATGTATATTTTTATGTACACACCTATGTCAATATATAGTACGTAGAAGATAGAAAGAGACTATTAAGAATTCCGAGCTCTCTAAGTGAGGGAATTTGAATTCTCTCCAATTAGATGATAATTAGAGTAGAGGTTCGTCTCCTCTCCAAATAGGGGGTCCGGATCTTCTCCAATAATCTCAATATTCATAATATATTTGAATTTCAATGAACGAAATTACGACACATAGGATTTCTGCTATTGTTTTGAAAACCACTTTTCTATTAAAATCCCCTATTGTGAGAACCAATATGACAATAGTGCAAAAGAAAAAAGAATAGTTAAAACAAAAGTTCTAATTTATACAACTTGTGCCTAAGATCTTGCCTTAAAATACATAATTGTTAATTTTTACAAATGATGCCTATGATCGGCGCTTGAAATTAGAACGAAAGTTAATGACTCGAATAACTAGACCCTCTCCAATTACCACCAAATTAGAGAGAAACTGAATCCGAAGTGAGGGTAACGTCTATTTTATGGTGAGTTTTTACTTTTGTTTTAATAAAAATTCGTTGCAAATTATTTATTAGTTTTAAATTAGTTCTTATTTTTGTTTCCTGAGATGGTTTTATATGATCGAGTAATTGAGATTTTTATAAACTTTTCCAACATCCCCTAAATTAACTATTGCTCGGAATTCTTTAAATGAGTTTTGATATAGGCTATGGTGTAGTTTTTAAATTTTATGGAGGACGAAGGGGGAAGCTTTTAAATGTTACTAGGGCTTATATGCAATTTATAAATTTATGGGGTTTCAACTACAACTCAACTCAAGAATCTAAATTCGCCCTGGTTTCACATAATTTACACATATAGATCCTGATCAGTTGTATCTAGATTCACTTAAATACCCTAAAGTTTCTATAAATTGTACTTTTAGTACTGATTCCAGAGCCATCGGTGCTTAGGAGTAATAATGCTCGAGTGGTGCATAGTTACAATAAGTTACATGCTGAAGGAACTGAAGTCTAAAGAGGATATTGACGTATGTCCTTGGGCTACGTATTTTGCTTGATTTGTCGATGATTGTGTAGAGGCTTAACACTATTTGATTCTTTGGTGATGTGAAGTAATTTGGGGCTCTCATCAAGTACCATCAGCCATGCAAACATGATAATTCTCCCTCAAGAACTCTCATGCAATGCTAATTTTAAAACACTTTAACTCTTACAACATGATAATTCTCCCTCAAGAACTCTCATGCAATGCTAATTTTAAAACACTTTAACTCTTACTATTTGTTAAATTTACTATTAAACACTCTCATGCAATGCTAATTTTAAAACACTTTAACTCTTACTATTTGTTAAATTTACTATTAAACCTATTAAAATATTTAAATTCGATAAAGCCTTTTTATATTTTTGGTTGGTTCATCTGTAGTTATCTTTATGAGTGAACATTATAATATATATTTATACATGACAAGGATAACAACTTTAATTATCAGTTGATTGGTTCTTGTTTCAGGGGGGGTAAACTGAAGTTATCTGATATATACCATGCTTTAAATCCAGCCACCAGTAAAGTCCAATGGCACAATACAATATGGGAGAGTTTATGCTATCCTAAGCACTCTTTCATTAGCTGGTTAGCTGTCAATAACAGACTGAATACTCAGGACAGATTGTTAAGAAGGGGAATAATAAATACAAATCATTGTTCCTTATGTTCTGAGTCTTTTCAGGAAAGCAGAAGCCACTTGTTTTTTGAGTGTGCTTATTCTAGTGATGTTTGGAATTGTATAATGGATTGGCTTCAATTCTCTTGGAGGTCATGCAATTGGGAGTTATTGATAAACTGGTTCAGTTCAAGATTGAAAGGAAAAGGTATTAAACAAAGGGTTAAAAGAATGGCTCTTTCAGGCACAATTTATGCAATCTGGAATGAGAGGAATATGAGACTTTTCCAGTTAAAGAAAAGGTCAGTTGAGCATTTAGTTAAGGGTATTAAAGTGGATATAATGACAGTGTTGCTAAACTCAAGCATCTCCCCTGAAAAAACTGCCTGGATTCATTCTCTGTAGAACATGCACAGATGTGCACGGTTGCACATGAATGACAAGCTCATATCTTCCCTAAGGATTTCTGAAATTTGTTTTGCATTTACAGGCTTTTTATTCCTGTTTGTAATTTTCATGTATTGGCTATTGCTCTGATTCTTGAGCTTTAGCTTCTCATTTTCTGGTATTCTCATATTGAGATCATTGATGTACATACAACTTTCATATTTGGAGATGAAATAAAATTTTCATTTACCAAAAAAAAAATAAAAAAAAATTCAAATAATAGTCTTCTGAAAATTATTGAATGACTATATGATTAAGAAAGTTGCCTTCCTGTTATCAAAACTTAGGTATCCAGATCCTTATGAAAACGGTATAAATTCTTAAACCAAGTCTGAACATAATTACAATGTAAGTGTCTACTTTCTATTACCCGGCCACAATAGGAGAACAAGAAAATGTGAATAGAAGACTCAAACTAAGCCAAAATAAATAAATAAATAGATCATAATGATGATGATGATATAAGCAATTAAATCTACTCTAATCTAACAAACATAAAAGCAACAATATACAGTAAACTATTGTTGACGATCAGAAAGTATCTGAATTAAAAATATATATAGAAATCTAATTATAGAATACTAATAAAATCCTGTAAATTGATTCATCAGCTCGTCAAGAAAGACAGGCGGTCACGTATAAGGGGCTGTTCGTTTCGCAAAAAAGAATGGGAAATCAAAGAATAGGAAACTTATTTCTTAAAATAATTGTTTTGAGGTTGTTTGGTTGGTTTAAAATATAAGAAAATTATAAAATAGGAGATGAGATGAGATGAGTTGTCACCTTATTATTGGAAGATGTGAGTGATTTTTTTAAAAAAATTGTTTTGAGGTTGTTTGGTTGGTTAAAAAAATAAGGAAATGAATTAGAGGTATATTATTGGATGATGTTTTGAGGTTGTTTGTGTTTGGTTCGTTTTTAAAAATAAGAAAATAGATGAGATGAGATGAGATGAGTTGGAGGTATATTATTGGATGATGTGACACATACTTAAGGAAATCAATTTCTTGTTTTTTTTTTAGGAAATGGATGGAAAGGAAGGTTTAATGAGATGAGATGAGTTGCCACAATATTATTGGATGATGTGTGTGATTTTTAAAAATGAGATAAGATGAGATGTGATGAGTTGGATGATGTGACACATTTCTTATGTTTGGTTTATTTTTAAATGTAAGAAATGAGATGAAATGAGATGAGTTGGATGATAAAAATAATATTTTATTAGATGTTATGGGTGAGTTTTAGGAATAAAAATGGATAAAAATATTTTTTTATTAATTTTCTTGTACCGATTTCCTTTTCTTTGATTTTAGGAAACCAACCAAACGGGCCCTAAGTAACAACGTGCGTATGATATATGTCATATTTTATTACAATATTCATTATCTTATTTAGATTATTCTCTATGTTATGTATAACATATATATACATTTTTCACATGCATCAATCATTAGAGTTTTTAATTTATAAAAAGTGGTTTTTAATTTACAAACCCAAAGTCTTACCTTAATTAATTTTAAACCCAACCATTTCCAAAATCATACTCAAAACCCAAAAATACCATGCTGAATTGTTTTTTAAACCAATAAGTTTCTATATTTCATCTTTAAACTTTTGCTGTAGGTTTGTATGGTTTTCCATATTTATGTTTAAGTTGGGTAATTGGGTACGTACCAATGATTCTGGAAATTGCTGTAGGTTAAAATTTTGGGTTTATAATTAAAAAGCCTATATCTTATTACATTGATGTAGACACTTCTTGTTATAATTTATAAACCGTCTTTTTGTGCCAATTTTTATAAAATTTTACTTTTCTTTTGAGAAGATCAAAATTTACTACTTGTATAGTGTTGTACATAAATATATAACATCTTCATAAAAATTTTACAAAACGGAAATGAACCTGTGATCCAAGAGATATAAACTGAATCCTCGGTCGCCGACAAGGATACCGATATCTGTTCGGGTTCGAACCCGTTAACCCGGCGCCGGACCCTCGGGTCGGAGTCCGGTAAGTCCGCCGCCTTTCCGCGGAACCCGGCGTTTACGGTCACCGGTTTAAACGGACCGTCCAACGTCGTCGGGATGCCCCCGCGGGTGCAGCAGAACGCCGTCGACAGCACCGCCGCTAGAAGAAGTGGGGCCCACTTCCCCATCTCTACCCACTTTTTCCTTCTCTCTCTCTCTCTCCTTGTTTGAGGGGATGGATGGAGGTAGTAGTAGCAGCAAGGAGAGGATGGGTGTTTATAAGGAGGGTTTATTAACTTCCAGATGTTTGCAGTAAGGCCCCAATAGCTTTCAAAATCACATTAGATTCCTTGTAAACTTTCTAAAATTGCAGAAAACACCCAATAAGACCGTCTGCAGATAACCCCCATAAATTAGAACCGAGTAAACAACATTAAGAGACATTTTGAAAGGTGGTGTTGTTTATTGTAATTTGCCTAATAGATATTGGGGTTTCCTGCTAACATTATTGGGGTTTAGTGCGATTTTGGAAGTTGTTTTTAGTTTTTTTTTATTGGTTACCATGAAGTATTCTATATGGAAAAAAAATATATATCATAAGTTTTCAAATCAGCTGAAAATTATTTCAAATCAGCTGAAAATCATGTGATAGTTTTCTATGAAAATACCTGATATTCATATGACAATAACATAAAGTTCACGGTAGGTTAGTTACTTATTAGAAAATTCCGTCTAATAAGAATTATTTTTTAAATAAAAAGAAGTCATTCTTTTGTCTTTCCTCCCAAAAAGAGGCGGTCTCCTTTAGCGGTTAACGTTTTGCAACTTGCATACGGAAAAGATTTGACCAAAATTTTGTTTCAATCGTATGTAGACGCTTAGTATTGACATTTAGTACATGTCGTTTACCATTGATGAGTAATTATGATGTAAATGCTTATACTGATAGCCATGTGTAGACTAAGGGCCTGTTTGTTTCGGCCAAAAAATGCAGAAAATGAGGGAAAATGGCCTTTGGGAAAACTGACACAGGGTAAATTTGGCACTTCCCCTCACAATCGGGTGTTTGCTTCGTTAAAAAGAAAAAAGAAAGTGGAGGAACGTGCGGGCTTTCTGACAGTTTTTTCGCCCTTCCATTTTCCGCTCGAAAACGCCTGATTACAGCGGAAAATGCCTCTTTGTTCTCTCCCGTACAAAAATCTCTGGTTACAGCGGAAAACGCCACTCGTTCTAGTTACCCCTCTCTCCCGCTCCCGCCCCTCTCTCCCGCTCCCGCCCTTCTCTCTCTCCCGCTCTCCGATTGCTGTCCGCTCCCGCCCTTCTCTCTCTCCCGCTCTCCGATTGCTCCCGCTCTCCGATTGAAACCCTAGCCTTCGAACAAAAGGGAAAACAGTACAAGATCTTGGTTGATTTATGGAGGTACAATGCTAAAAATCAAATCTTTTGTATTTATTTAATTTTTTCCCGCCCTTCTCTCTCTCCCGCTCTCCGATTGCTGTCTGACGCCGATTGAAACCCTAGCCTTCGAACAAAAGGGAAAACAGTACAAGATCTTGGTTGATTTATGGAGGTACAATGCTAAAAATCAAATCTTTTGTATTTATTTAATTTTTTTTATGGCTTTCATTTATCAATTTCCTTCTTCCTTTGATGCCAGGTTTAAAATTTGTCTGAGTTTGGGTATTTTGACCACCATTTCCCACTACGATTT